CTTCGATTCAACATCCCGAAGAACATGGAGGAATCGAAGGTGAAATTCGAGTACAAGCCGACCTTCACTGCACAGTCGAAGAGGAAACAAGAGCGGCAAGATGAAGGACACGGCGAGCAGGATGCTTTTGGAAAAGCCGATGCCGGTGATCAACGTCTTCGATGGTATACGGTCACGGAGCTCAGCAAGTTTATCTGCGAACTTTGCGCTAAAGAGATGCAGATGAGCAAGTCGAAGGTGCTCGGACCGAAGTCGAAGTACAATCCCTCTTCTTGCGTGAACTGTTGCGCGAACTGGAACGCGGACACGAACGGTTTTGCAATGTCTACCGAGGGGAAGAAAATGTACACGCGCCTCTTCGCAGAATGCGTGGTGGCAATCCCCGACCTTCAAAACCTCATGGTGGACGTCAACAACATCCAGGCCATGATCACGATCATACGGGAGCTCGCGTATTCGAAGCTGAAGAAGGAGCTTTCTCACGCGGGATTCGTGAGTATGACCGTGGATCAAGCAGCGCAGTTCTATAACAACGGTCACGGGAAGCAATTGTGCGCATCCCGGGATGTGATCGTGTGCAAGAACTCCGAGGGAGTCGAGGAGAGGATGTCCATCTTCTTGATAGGCAAGGATCTTGGCAATGTGGCATATTCGTCCTGGATCAAGGGTGTGCTCGACCAAGGAACGATGTATGAACTCCTGGGACAAACCACGAACGAGGAATCCTTGGGAGACGTCGTCGAGATGGTGTTGGGATTCTTTGAGGTGATATCGTACTTCCAGCACGAACTGCCACTGTGGAAGGATGCATGGAAGATCAAGAGGGAGTTCGAGCAGTCAATAGTGCGACACCTCGCTGGGAACGTGACCCACACGACGGGCCAGAACAGAAAGCGGAACAAACCGTCCGCACAGCTCGGCGTGCCCACGAAGGAGGTGCTTGACCTCATGAACAAGGTCAAGCCCAGACATCCACGATCCCTGATCACCGAGCCCTCTGCACAAGGGTCCAAGAGAAAGGCCACGGAGGGCGAAGATGAGGGTCTTGGTCAAGCACCAGACCCGAGTCGAAGTTCTCAGCCCAATGCTGAGAAGGAAGATAAGAAGCAGCGAGTGATCGACGGGCGGAGAGCGGCACTGGGATTCCTGGAGTCAATGGAGAAGTGCATGGGAGAAATGGGAATCTGTAGGAAATGCGCGAACCTGGCCCACGACGGCGACTGCAAGGACATTGAGGAGGCTGCTGGAAATGAGAAGGCGATGAAGGTGCTCCGTGAGCTACTCAGCAGTGACCCTATTTCATCTGATGAAGACATGGGGGATACGGAGGAGCCGTCCTCATCAACGTCCAAGGAAAGAAAGAAAGGGGGACAAGCAGGGAAAGACACAATTGAGATGTACAGCTACACTATTAATTTGGTGGAGATGGCTGACACGGCTGAGGGAGGAGAGCTACAATGTGGTGGCGTCGACCTCACATACAACCCGTGCGGGGACAGCAGGACATTCAAGAAGACGCTTGAGATGGGATGCGACACTATCCCGTGCTACATCCCGAAGTACGGCGACATGATTGATGTGCATATGCCACGGGCATACGCGTCTATCGTTGACCCCAGGTACTTTCCCAGAGGTGCAATCCTTGAGCAAGTGGACGTGATGCAACTTGGCAAGAGTGTCAACTTTTGCATTGCACCTTTCGACGGTGCTCCACTATGCAGGATCGGTGATGATCGCTCGGTATTTACTTCAAGGGACCAAGCAAACCAGCTATCTCACGACCTATGCAGAGTCCTTCGACACAAGATCGGCAATTGCCGAGGGAGTGCTTTCAGGTGCGACGAGGGTGGATGGGTCGACATTGATGCTGTCATTGACGACCGAAACAACGACATATTCCCACCTAACACCTCGAGAGCGAAACGATACATGGGCATCATGGAGGTGATCAAGTGGCAGGAATCCGGGAGCAAGAAGTCGAGATTCCAGGTTCTGGCAGCAAGGTTTCCGAGCATCATGAACCCGAACGACACGAGGGCAGCCAGGGAGGAAATGAACAAGGCTGGCGTGGATCGGGACGACATCGACAGGATGTTCAACAGATGCGATGGATGGTACAGACCTTGGTGCATCCGAGTCACAACCGGTCACAGTGATTTGGATTCATGAGCTCATCCGCACTGGCGAATAGGTATTCCGCAAGAATGGGTGATACTCTCGGAGGAGCATTCCATGTGACGTATGTGGAAAACCTGCCAAGCATCGTACGCTGTGGGCTAGTCCCCGGCGGAATCGATGGCGGCAACAGGCTAGCACTGCACTTCGGGGCGTTTGCTCCATGGGATGAGATGAACGTGGCGACGAAGACAACGCTACGGAACGTGAGAAGAGGGGATCCGATTGCGATCATCTATATTCCCAGTGCAACCCTCGCGCGGTATGGGGCTGGAGTCGCGGCTAATGGGACTTTCATGGTCTTTGACGTGATCCCGTTCTATGAGGTCAAGTCCATTTGGATTGGCAAAAGCAACGGAGGGAAGCGCCTGGAGTACGCTGACATCAAGAGGGCGTACTCGAAGTGTGTGGAGAACGAGATCTGCCCTGGCATTGTCAACTCTTCCCAAGAGTCGGCTGCGATGTTCCTCCAGAACGTCGCAAAGATCAGCGAGAGGATGCCGGAGACTGAGACAGGTGCCGATAATCTGCACTACATCGTTGACATGGTGAATCGTGCTTGCGAACTCTATCGAAACAACAAGATGGAAGAGTTCAACGCACAGGTCAACGAGGTCCGGGACGAAGTCAGCAAAGTCGTCATCCTGAATGATGAGACATGGGAAGGACGGAGGTGCCGGATATGTCCATCATGTGCGACCGCGATCCCTACCTGCTTCTGCTTATGCCTGGAGTGCGAGGCACAACTGATCTCCATCGGAAGATACTACATTCACATCAAATCCGATGACGAGGAGGACAACCAAAACCCCAACGTCTCTGGAGATGCAAGGCGTGCACAGGAAGAAGCTAACCACGATGCGGCAGCACAGGAGGATGAAGACGAAGCGGAGGAAGTTCCGGGAGAAGATGACGACATGGACACGCAAGGATATACATCCGGCTATGCGTCAGAAGAAGAAGACAGCGGTTGGCATCACCGCGACACCGATCTGGCGTCACGGGACATTATAAGTTCCCAACGGATGGCGATCTGCCTTGACGAGCCGCGTGAGGCTCAGTACATGGCAGGATTTATCGCACTCCAGCTGTCCAAGATGTGGGGGGTGTTTGAAGGTGGTGAGGATAGAACGATGATTGCCAAGCTCGAGGGGAGAGAGGGCTGCCCTTACCACAATGACTTCAGGAGGTACCCCATCATCACTGAGCATGATCAGGAAGGTATACTTTTGCCATCAACAATAACGAAGATTTCTCAATCGGAGAATGTTCGGACAAGAGCCTTCCGATCGGTTGAGGAGCGTGACGAATATCTTCGTATGATGGTGTGCAAATGCGAGGGACTTTACACATTCTACAAGCTGTGGATTGCAGCGAGAATCCTCGATGTCACCAAGGAAGAAATGAAGCTCCTGGTCAAGGACCGAGTGCACCCGGTGGGTGATATTATTTTCAGATGTTTTGCGCTAGCTTTCAACTGTAAGTATATATCATTCGTGAGGGATGGCCTGAACCTTGGCAAACATGGTTACACGGTCAACGAGAGCGCCATCATCTCGGCCGTCGACCCGAACAAATGCGACACACCCCTGCTGGATTGGTGCCTTCGGAAAGGGCACTGGTTGCCAGAGGACTACAACAAGAAGTGTGTCCGGGCACAAGAAGCCCAGAAGAACTTGGACGAGGAGTTCCGCCGACGTACCCATAGGCTGTCCATTGGGGACAGGTATGCTTCGTGAAGATGATGATTGCGGTACGATGTGAGCCAGTCCCCATCTGTTACTTGCGTCACATCGACACTGTTTCGGTGGAACGACTTATGTCATGATTTATATTCATGTGTCCAAGATGATTGGGTGTGTACATGGTTACATATTCCGACGACTATGACGCTCTGGATATTCATGGATGGAATTATTACCTTATAGATGATATCTTTTCATTATTTATGTATTGTCCATGGTATCTGGAATGGCTATGATTTGCATTGATTACTCACCGATGTTTCCTTGCCGGAGATATGCAGACCGATCACAAGCGGGCGCGCATGGTGGACATTTGTGGCCAACCCATTTATGGATGACAGCTGCGCGATGCGCACATGCGGCAGCTGGAATGTTCACTGGCGGTCAAGTGAAGTGGCCACAGTGTATTATATACACCTGCATATGGATGTGTGTTTCGATTGGAGGATGAATGTTTCACTTTTCGTACAATCGAACCCGGCATGTTTCACAGCGAATGAACGGTGTAGTGATAGCAAGTAAAAGAATGCACGACACGATTTCGTAGTTGAAGCCGTGGCCAGTGGAACGTTTTGTGGTGATTGGACCGCATGATGAACAATGCGACCCAAATGGGGGATGTTAAAACCCTCTAGGCCCCGTGCCGAAATTGGGTAGCTGTTCTGAGGTCCTTGTTGGTGTTGCTTCCCAAGTTCCATTGATTGCCATTTGGCTCAAGACACAATTGAGGTTCAAGATCCGATGTGTAACTGCAGACCTACGTGACGGGCACTAAGAGCAAAACAACTGCTTGCGCTGCATTCGTCAGGACCACTGTCGTAACTATCATTCCTTCTTCCTTACAACGTTTACACGGGTTCGGCTATAACGGCATCGTCCGTATACACCTTTCTACGTGGTTGGTATTAAAGCTTGAGGGTTCGGTGCACAGCGTCCCACGGGACGTCACCTTGCCGTCTCTTGACAATTTCTGTGACGCTGGATTGGTCATGTCGAGCTTGCTTTGCATTTGGGAAAAATACTTCCGAAAGTGCAAGACATCTCAACAATTGATTAGAGAGCGGCCAGCACCAAATTCAGGCTGAAGGGCCTCCAGGGATTGCAGGACCACAGAGCACAGACTACACTGTTGAAGCATTCGCCGAGCACCGCGACAGGACATGCGCTGAGGCACTTGATGTCAGCTTTGCGCGAGAAGGAGCGTTGCTAAGCGGCTTACAGCTTGGGGTCTGTGACTGCGCATGTGAAGGACGTGCAGTCAAGGATGGATGCTGATGGCTTCATCTCCATCCAGTTCCGTGTTGTCATTGATTCTGGTGTGATTTGCTCTTCACATGAGACAGCCAAGGTGGCTGCTGAAGGCAAAGTGCCTTGGTAGCGCTTGTGATCAGGGAGTTTCAACTTGAATGTCAGGGCATATCATTCTCAGGCCAGTCCTGAGTTCGGCTTGCAATGGAGATGCCAAGTGGATGGCAACTGCTATGGGGCAGGCATGGCCCTGACATGATGGCTGTTGCAGTTGTTCGTGTCAGTCCAGGAGGAGCAAGTCCGACTGGACAAGGTGCGGAGATGGACCAGTCTTCATAGGTTGACTTGATTGGCACCGTGTAGACAGTGCAAAAGTGGTGCTTCCTTTCACCAATTTGTGGCCCAAGCTTTTGCAGCTTCTTTGCCACTGTCACCGTGCGCTTTGCGCACTCGCTCCCAAGCAGCCTGGCTAACCAATCTTGCCAGCTGACCGGTGGAGCCTGCCGAACTGATACGAGGTAATCATGGACAGCTCTGCCAAGTCAAGGGCTTTGAAGAGATGCATTGTCGCTGGTGTCCCTGCCATGCTGTCAATGAAGTCTCACGTTTTGCCAAGGTTCATCATCATGTTGTTCGATATTCCCATCATTGCTGATGTCCGTCACCACTGCGAGGTCGGTGGTGCTGCTAGCAGCACATGCGACTACTTGTTGAATCATGCATGCTCCAGGTTTACGGTCGCGGCACAGGCTGGCTGTGATGTCAGGCTGCGTGACCAATTTTAGCAATGTGCGATCCCTGCGTCGAGGTAATTCAGGTGGTATTGGTGGTGGTTGCGGTCTTCGATAGTCCGTGCGCGGCACAGACGTTCTTTCGTTCCAACAGTGTCAGTAGGCAGCGTGATATGCGCGCCTGTGGGCTAAGTCTCCAAGGTCTCTCAACAATGGGCTCCTTGGTGAAGGCGTGGCTTGCCAAAGAAACAAAGTCGATGTGTGCCCTTCAATTTTCAATCCTGGGAGGCATTTGAGCCGAGGCTGCAGTGCCCAGCGTCACATGTGACAGCCTTGGCAAGCCGTGCCCAGCTTGGCCCGAGCACTTTCTATCGCGCTTGAGGAAGGGAGGAAGTGCGACAGGAGACAGCGGCGCCCTTCGAAGAATCAGCAGGACTTGCTTGAAGTACAAGCCAAGGTGACAGTTGAATTTGGTCATGTTCCCATTCATAACAATCTTCTGTAGGAAAGCTTCAAGAGGCTGCGGCAGCTGAGTCCAGCCGCCCGACGCACCATGCTGAACCAATTGACTGAAGGGCAGCGACTGGCGCCGGGGCCCTCGTGCCACAACAGCTGACAGCCGGTGAGGTGGCCATTGCCATGACATATTTGCCATTAGTTGCACTTTACGATCTTAGGCTGGAGCGCTGGATGCTTCGCCAAGCACAACTTCGATGCAAGGTGTTTGCATGATAGCGTACACGCAGCCGTGACATGCCATACCTCAATCAGCGATTGCTGTCAACTTGATGCGGACGAGTGTGGCTTAGCTGTTCTAGCATTGCCATTTTCGCGTATTCCTTCCAGACTTGGTCCATGCTTCTACTCATCTATCTCTCCATCCTTCTATCCCTCCAGTCCTCCAGTCCTCCATCCCTCCATCCTTCTATCATCCCTCTATCCCTTTATCTCTCGATCCCTCCCAGCTAGCCCATCGCTGCCCATCGCTGCATTGATCCATCCGTCCTTCCATCCCAGGCTGCCAAGTTTGCTGGCTGATCTATTTGGCCGTTCGGCCGTTCAGAATGGCAGTCCTTCACGTCTTGGGAGCGACGTAGAAGCTCGTAGAGTCACACCACGTCAGGAACCAACAGCAGCTCATCCGACTAGGAAGCCCATAGCCGCGGTAGAGCACTCAGAACACAAACAGATGTTTGTAGCAGGACAAAGCAACTCCCCAAATTCGGCACAGGGGTCGGCAGAGACCTTGTTTGCACACTGCATGCAGGATGTGAAGCAGCGAAAAGCCCGACGCTCTCCTTGCGGGGCTTGCTTCTCAGAAATTCAGCATGCTGCCTGCTAAGCTTTCATTGACCGCCTGTTTTGGGCCCTGGCTTGGCGGGCAATTTACTAGTCCAGCCAGGTGAAAATGCCCAAGAGCCGAGGCTCGGCAGGTCGTCAAGGGCACAAACTAGACAGCTTCCAACGCTGCTCGCAGTGAGGCGGTGGCAAAGATAGGCCTGGTTTTGGCATACACAGGCTGGTCTGCAAAGCAGTTGCTTTGCACTTCTCTTACAGAGCCAATCAATGCGGGCAACTCCAGGCAATGCAGAGCCGGGAGGGTAGTGTACAGAGCTGGAGCACGCTCCTCAGCCGGGATGGCATGCGTCCTCTGGCGCTTGCTTTTTGTTTAGTGGTTGCTTCATGCCAAGGTGAATCTGGGGCCATTTCGTTTGCATACTGCATACGATGCCGATATCAACAAGGCCTCGGCTCAAGCTCTCAATGTTGCGAAATGCGACAGTTGGCCGATGCAGGCAAAGAGCAGTCTGGAGGACTGCTCTGCAACTGTTGCTGTGAGTTGACGGATTGACCATCCTCTTGTGCAAGCAGAGCAGCGGTCCAGGCCTTGTTTTGCATTCAGCAGATTGTGCGACGACACTTGGCACGACCAGAGTCGCTTGACCCAGAAGGACTTGAGCTGCACAAGATTGCAATAGTTTTTTGTCATTAGCAAATAGCAAAGGGGCAAAGGGGCTACAAGTTGGAGAACGCGTATCGCGCCTTGTAGGACCTGGCAAAGAGCTGGAGGCCACATGTGCCATTGCAGAAATTCGCAATTCGAATGTGTGGAAGGTGGCCTTTCGGTCAGCTCTTGAGCAGCATGGCGGTGATCGGCTTTCGTCTCAGCTTCCCATGCCACGTTGGAGCTGGTGCAAGCTGTTTGAAGACGCACCTAGGTTACGCTTCAGCGTGCAGATCCCTGCCAAACGGTGGGTGAGGGTCCTGTCTCATTCATTGCATGTTTCTTGTACTGAGAACGGATTTGGGTTACTCTTCCTCTTGCCGGGGGAGTCAGCCAAAAATCGAAGTTGCAATAATTCGAATGGAGTGCCCTAAAACATACCGACATGCAGTTCTCAGCAGTTACAAGCAGTCCTTTTCCTGGTTTCAGGGAGTAAAATGCCAAGTGGCAAAAATCCGGTTGTTTGTCTGCTGCATGACCTGCATGCTTGAAATCCGCGCAAACTGACACAAGTGACAAAAGAGCATTTCACCCTCAGCTGGAAATCAGGCGGAAACTGCCACAACACATGTGGTTTTGAGGATGGCATGGTGTTTGCTGTTTGCAACTGCACAGCCCCACCGGATCATTTGCAGCTTGAGGTGGGAAGGGCTTTGGCCACGCCCAGCTTTGCCACTTCTGGCAACGGTTTGGAGAACGGGCGCGCCCGGCTGCAAGTTGGCGGAATGCGCTGAATGCGCTTGAGCTTGGGGTAGGCTGAGCGCCTGGCGCCGCTTGACGGTGGCCCGGAATGTAGTTCGCCGCCAGCCCGGATCTTGGGCTCAGGTCCTTGGGCTCAGGCCGTAGGCAGTCCTAGGCAGTCCTAGGCAGTGGAGATCTTTTCGAAACCAAGGGCGAATCGCCACACAATCCTCCAGGATGATCGCCATGAAATCGAGGACGGGTGTTTCGAGGTTTGCTCGAAAACATTTACCTCAACTTTCCTCATTTCTTCTGGGCGTCCCGTTTCCTTCAGGCAGCGTGGCAGCAACTCCGCTCAGCATACTTCGAGATTTGCGTTGCAGCGGGTCAGCGTCCCGACTTAGTGCAAGGGCCTTAGATCCAACCAAACCGCCGGAACCGCCGGGCTAGCAATGGTACAGTGGTAGGAGGGCTGTCAGATTGTTTTGAAGAGGTTTGAAGAGGCTTCCAAGCGGCTTGGGAAGGGAAAGCCATAAGTGTGCAGGTCGGCAAAATTGATGCGATGGGAGGTGCGTCCCACGCGTCTCACAAGACCGCAGCTCGCTCGCTCGGTCCAGGGCATTCGCAGCTATGAGCATCGCTTCCAGGAGAGGCTGGGCGGCCAAGCTGAGAGAGCTGAGACAAGCTGCCGAGCCACGAATTTTCAGGCCACCAAATATTAGCAAAAATGACATTCAATGCTCATTGAGTCACATATCACCAGAGAAGGTCGCGACTTCTCGTGAATGTTGGAACAAGGAAGACAAGGGTCTTGTCGCATTTCTTGGTATGCCATGTCACCGGTATTCTGCTTGCGCGGCAATTGCCACCCGAGGCGTCAACAGGTACACGTGAAGGCTGGGACTCCAGGAGGTCAATATCATCAGTAGTGTCCCTGGAGTACGCCTTATGGAGAGCTGGCATGCACATACCAAGGGAGGTACATTTCCGCAGCTGCTACCCGCTACCCACAAGTGTCCTCACGATTCGTGGGGCAGTTGGCACTGTATTTGATTGTCAGGCAGGACTTCACGATGGTCGAGTGACTCGTGATGCACTCGAGTCCGCGGGATGGCGGACCCGGCCAGTCCCATCAAAACGCGACATCCTTGTCCGTCCCAGTGTTGTCTTACGGCCTTGGGACTGGCACTTCAAAGGGTGTGGGCTCAAAGGCACCTGATCCCACGCACGACTGCAAGAACGGAGAGAAAACACTGGCGAAAAGGAATCTGAAACAGCTTGGCAATCTTGTGGCTTGCCTTGCAACCGAAGTTGCACCTTGCAACTGTGCAGTCCCGCCGACGTGTGCGACTTCTAAGTCGCAGCGAACACCTCCTGGCAGAGGCTCCTGGGCACTTGACAGTGTTGCATAGCTGACTCGACGTGTACCGTCTTTGTGGCCCCCATTGAGGCTATGCGCATCATGCAAGACAAGCCCTTCGAAGTGGCGTGAATCTCAGAGATTTGACTCAAAGAGCAAAAAAGCAGTCCACTGCTGTGCTGTAGGTGCCGCTCAGAAACTTCTTCTCCATCCCAGCATTGAAGGAGTACACAAATCCAGAGAGTGCCCCAATGATTGCCTTTCAGAGCACTCGATCATTCAGTCAAGACTGGCTAGGTGTGCTCCGGGAAGCATTGGAGCATGCGGACTCCGACCTGATGGTGCAGGGTGCCTTCGTTTGGCCCACAGTAAGAATCGAGAAGCCTGGTGAGTCTGGTGAGTCCAGGTCGCCTCGCGTCCTCGAGCGGCCAAGTTGCGGAAGTCAGTCGAGCAGCTCTTTGAGAACCAGGCTGCAGCATTTTGTGCGGGGAATTGGCACCAGCGTCATTCGTCGACAGGATCCGAGACTGCAGGCAAAGATGCAGCAAACTGGGGAGCTGCCTTTGACTTGGTGCTGGCCACAGCTGGGCCACACAAAGGTGCTGGGCCGCCTGTCACCTGTGAGGATTGTCAGTCGATATGCAGACAGGCGAGGCTCATCCAGCTGAGATCGCAATTATAGCCTGAAAAATGCCCAGGCTGGGCATATTTGCACAGGAAGATGCACGTGCATCGGAGGCCAGTACCAAGTACTGCAATGTCAGCAGTTTTTGAAGTAAAGAGCGGGAAACAAAGGCCATTGCTAAAGAGCTTGCTGCTGCTCTACGAGACTCCGAGGCTGATGTGGAGAGTTTGGGTCGGTCGGTTTGGATAGATTACTAAATACAACTCACCAGCTGAGAATGGCAGGTTCAACAAAGCGGTTCAAGTTTTGCGAAGAAGCCAGGCATCGTGAACCACGATTAGCTGTATGCTTATGCAAGAATATTATTGACAGGAAGGTTAAGAAGGGTGTGTAGGCAGATCGTGCTTGCCAGCATCCTCGTCCTTCATTTGCTCGCCCTGGTAGCCCTTCGCGAGCGGATCCAAGCCAACTGGCAGAGCTCTGCATCCTCCTTCCTCCGACTTGCTCAGCGGCAGCCTCGTCGACCTCTGCTCTTTCATGAGCCTGAAGGGCCGCTGCGGGGTGTAATTTAATTATCTACGCGGGTTTGTTCTTCTAGGAGCTGGGGCTGGTGGAAACGCGGGCTGGCGCCACTCAGAAGCCCACGCGGGAAAAAGGGGGTTGCTGAGCTAAACAGAGAGAGTGGGCGCGCGCAAGATGATACTTCTTAAGTTGAATAATCACGACCCCTTGACCCCCAAAGAGGCACCCCAGAATGGTGTGCATGTATGTGATGTTGGAGGCCCCGTTGATAGCAAGAACATGCTGAATGGCAATGCCCATTTGGCTCAAGATGCCCATTAGATCAAAACCAGGGTTTGCGCTCGCCTACCGGACTGGGGTTAATAAGGGTCCCGGTTTCTGGTTCGCGTTGTTTCTTTCCCCGTTGAGTTCTTAAGCGCTTATGTTTCTGCTGCTGCCTTGAACATATGAACTCGCAACTCATAACGTCTAATCTGGATACGCGTTAGCAGGAAGCGTGGCTACCGTTTCGCCGCGCCTTGGAGGTGTAACATTTCCAGCTATCCAGGGAGCACTGTTCGGCGCTCGGCAAGCCCTTGCGTTACCTTAGCCGCTTACAGAGCGTGAGTCTCACAGAGCGAGGCGTTGCCCAATGGCTGTTTTCCAAGCGGCAGAACCCGAGATCACCCTCTTCATCTCGCCTTTAGGCACTTCCCCGTTGACGCTCCATGCTTTTCGGGCTTTGCGTATGACCTGTGCGTGCCACTCTACCTTGGCTGCGTCCACTGGCAAGTTGGTGCAGCTTTCTTTGCAAGAAGCGCTTCTCGTAAGATTGGCGATGGGTCTTGTCACAATGGCTATCAATCAGCTTGCTCCCAGAAGTGTGCAAGACAAACTTGCGCCTTTGGTCATGCATGGCCAACAACTCAGCGTGTCGCAACACCATGTGCGAGTGCTCTATCGTAGATTCGGAGGCAACGGCGCAAGCCACCTTGGTCACAGCCGTCTGGGTCCGCTCTCGGAGCGGGTGTGGAGAGCGTCATGATTGATCAACCAACTGGGTTGGATCGGCCGGCAAACAACCGACCAAGCTGACCAGCCAAGAACAGCCTTCTGCGCAGCTAGCGAGCTCGTCGGTTAATGAGCTACTGCTACTTGATTAGCCAAGTTCCATTCTCAGAATGGCTGCTTATCTTCCTTTGTGGTGAGCTGCCGATTCAGCTTCAATGCTGAGCTAGATCATCATCTAGCTAATTAGCTAGTTCACCGGCATTTAGCCACTTGGCTACTTTCCTCTTGGCTTGCTAGTTAGCAAGTCTGCCTGTCAGGTTGTTAGCCAATTGGCACAGCCGAAGTGCCTGGAAGCTAGTCCGATTCAGCGTTTTGGCGCTTCGAATACGGTACGCAAGACATGTCGCATGATGTCGCCATGCCTTGTTCGCACATCATTGATGTAGTAAATTTTGACTGGATGCACATCTCCGAGAGCAGGCTCTTCTGGTGGATGATCGACGGCTGAGTGTGCGCAAGTTTCCTCAGAGCCCTGAACGTGTGCTGTTGAGTGGTTATCAGCCGTAACTGCTTTTAGGCCCCCTCAGTCCGGTAGTCAGCGCACTTCGTGCATGGACCCGGCTCCGGCCTTCTTGGCCAGAGGACACAGGGGCGGCTGGGTATATCGTTGAAGGCTTTACTACGAAGCTTTCGACAAGCTCACCCGTTGGGCTCGGCGTGAGTTCCAGGTTGGGGTGGCAAGAGTCCCCTGGGAGGAAGCCTCGGACTTGCATCGGAGCTCCCTCCTGGCGTGGCAGGCCGATTTCACTGAAGAGAGCTATCGGCACCTGCGGGACATCTACCCCGACCTCTACGACGCCGTCATCGCCCGAGGCCGCCACCAACCAATCCCAATTCACCAACGGGCACAGGCCGCAGCTCAAGGCGCGGCAGGGCAGGCCACACCCGCTCAGCCACAGCAACAGCCAAGCACCCCATCAAGTCCATCCTCCACCACAACTGTGTCCACCATCAAGGCAGCAGGGCCGGGAGATCAGGCTGCAGCTACAAGCGCAGCGGTTCCACCAAGAACCACAACTGAGAGCTCGTCCGGACCTTCATCCTATCCACCTGCAACTGCGGGTAGGGGAAGGTACACTACTGCGGGGAGGTCCTCATCGAGGAGGAAGAGGACGCCGGCAAGGCGACAACCTTCCCTTGTACCGGCGCGGAAGGCGTCAACCAGACGCCCGAGATCCAGAACTCCCCTCAGGGCTGCAGCTCCAAGCGCAGCGGGGGTGCCTCTTTGTGGGTCAAGGGGTCGTGATTATTCAACTCCCCCCTCCCCGTGTTCACTAAGAGACATGTATTGTACAGTCGCGCTTGAGCTGCGACCTATGTGATGCAAGGTCCTTTACCAGACCATAAGGAGGGCTTACCTATGATTTTGCACTTTTGTTACTGCTTGGACATCTCAGGCCGGACATCTTTCAGCTTTTCAGGCAAATTAGTCCTGATGCCTAAAAGCTTTAGTGCGTGGTCCCACTTCAAGGGCTGCAGTGCCTTCGTAAAGATATCAGCTGCCTGGAGATCAGTAGCTACATACTTGATAAGTACACCCGTGCCGGGTTCAAGTTGCTCAGCAAGTGCGGACAAGTTCACTTTGTGAGTGCGCTGTATGTGCCGCATTTTTGGGGAGTAACCTTTCTTGGCAACGAGGATAGTGGCTTGGTTATCTTCGTGCAGCGCCAGCTCAACGGGCGTCCAAGCAGACGTTCCCATAAGGTCAAAGAGGGAAGACCCTCTTGATACAAAGAGAATGTGAACGACCTCGGCTTCGGTGGTGGATCTCGACACTGATGTCTGTCGTTTGCTCAACCACGCTAAAGGAAAATGGGTGTTCGGCCCTTTGAGAACCAGGAAGCCACCGGACGTGGACTTCGCATCCCTTTCTCCAGCATAGTCGGCATCCGCATACAGAGCGAGGTGAAGATCTTGCGGGTTGTCCTTTATGACTCCTACCAACCGGTAGTGCGTAGTCGAGTGGATGTACGCGATAAGACGGGCGAGTTGCCTATCATGGTTGCGAGACCACTTCTGCACGGCGGTTGCTAGGTCACCTATGGGCTTGATGATGTCAGGACGCGCTAGTCGTCCCAGCCATAAAACCAGTGATCCGTCTGGGCAGAACGGGGTAGTTACCTTCCGGAGCTTCTCGGGCTGAGTGCCGGTTATAGAACAAAACAGTTCTACAGTTTGACGGGCATAGTCATTCATGTCAAAGGCAACGGCACCCTCTAATGCGCTTACAGCTGCATTCAGATCATGCTCTTGAGGTTCCGCGGGGCCATCTATAAAGACATGATTACCCGAAAGATCGGCTCGGGAGGCTCTACATTTCTCAATTTTGTAAGCTCTTCCCAAAAGGCTTCATGTGCATCTGCGGGACCCATAAGGGTCAAGTCATCGACGTAAGTCGAGAGCATAAGGCCTACCCCTTTAAAGAAAAAGTTTCCAGGAAACTCTGGGATTTCTTCCCCTCCCAGCAGCTGCTTAAGCAGTTTCTTAAGGTGTGCCTCCCACAGACCTCCTGCGTCAGGGTGACCATATAGGGCACGAATCAACAAGACCACGGGTTTCACGAACTTGGAACCCCATTCCTTTGGCCGCAGCTCAAGCGGTTCAATCCACGTCTGAAACTGTGAGCTAAGGAACGCCTGGACATAGGCTTTTACCGCGTCAGCGGTGGTGACCGTGTGTCCTGGGATACACCCATACGCCAGACAGGCGTTTAGGCCTTGTACCGAGGTGGGGTTGGCCCCCAGTTCCTGGTACACCGCGGGTGCACCGGCTTCATTTTTTGCACAGTCTCCCCTGAACACGATGCGCCCCTTTACCTTTTGGAGGTGCTTCGCAAGTTCATAGAACTTGATGCTGGCGATCGTCATGAGTTGACCAAAGTGCACCTTGATCCCAGACTGTCGCGCTTGAGCTGCGACCTCAGCCTTCTCCCGGACAGTTGAACTATCCCATACTCCTACGTCTTGAAGTCCGGTCGCCTCCTGCTTGATTGCCTCTAATGCTTCAGGAGATGCAAGCATCTCGGCACGGGACAGGAGTTTGGTGGCCATTGCATGTGCTTCTGTTTCGACAGCCTTGGCGGGTATGCCGGCAGCACTAGCGAGTAGACCTTGGACATCCAGGAGTTCCTCGACGATCTCTTTTGTCTTAGAGTCTGATTCAACGAGGAGGGTGAAGTCATCCGCTCCGGAAAGAGGAGATTCGTGCTTTAGGGATTGCTCCTTAACACGATGCTCCGTCTGCTGAGTGACTGGAACAACGGGCATTGCTTGAACCGGAGTCCTACACACTTTGGGATACAACGCCTTGGCGACACATTTGCTCAGGGTAGAACGCAGTGCGGGAGGTTCGGCTCCCTGCCGCTGGAGTATGTTTTTCGGACTTTGTGTGCGGACACTGGCGATCAGCGAATGCTTCGGCAAGGGCCTTTGATGTAGTAGTTTTGATGTGCCAAGGCTTCTTGATAGGTGAACCATTTTCATCCGTCAAGCCGACAGCACAGCCGTGGAACGAAACGCCGTGGAACACGTCCTTGTGGCGTTCGAAGAACTCGGCTACATCTGGCCTTTGCCAGCCCTCGCAGTCACGTGGCCACTCGAAAGTGACTGATCCGCCGGCCTTCAAAACATGCTCGGCGTGC